CAACAGAAGAACTGAAAAGCAACCAGCCAGACGCTAACGGACGCTAGCCGCCGAAATGTTATTCGGCTTAGGCTTGTTCCTACCTACACACGTGCACTGCGCTACAATACGCAGCGATATGTTCAAATCCTATACAGGACAAAATCTGATCTTTCGTGGTGCTGTTACATCTTCATCACCCAAGTAAGGCCGGAGACGTTCCTCACAGACGGAAAGAAGCACCTACAGCTATTCTTAATCCTTCTTGCTACTGATACTTTCCGCGGGTTAACGCTGCTTGGCGGCCACCTATTATGCATTGCAAACACCGAGTAAGGACTTCTTTCACATGCGGAGAAAGACGCCTATGGCTGATTTTTTTGAACAAGGTTTTTTTGAACAAGGCGTTATCGTATTTGGTGAGTGTGTTATCGTTTTCCATGCAAATCACACACATTAAAATATCAGTGTCCCTCCTAGTCTTCGCTAAAGAGGGTAGATAAGAGTAGATCCCGTGGCAATCTTGGCTCAAGATATATACGTTCAGGGATGGGGTTCCTTTTTAGGGATCTAACTACAGATGATCTATTTTTGACTGATATATCTTTAGTCGATATTGATTTCGTAGCACCGACATCTCAAACATCTTTTTTCCCGTTGCCGATCTTATCCCGCCGCTTCCGCATCAACAGCGCCCAATTCGCGCAGCTTTGTCGCCAAGTCGCCATTCTTGCTCAGCTCCTGTCCAATGGAAACTGCAAGTTCACGATGCCTGGTTCGATGCCGGTCGGTCTTGTTTTAGGCACTAGGTCAGTTTTTGGTCGTCGTGGTCATCGCGGTGGTCCTGCTTGTCCTCATCGTCTTGCTTGTGTTGGTCGTTCTGGTCGTCTTGATCGCGGACGTGGTCGTCATTGCATCTTGCTTGTGTTTGTCTCTGTGTGTGTGTGTTTGTGTGTGTGTGTGTTTGTGTGTGTTTGTGTGTGTGTGTGTGTTTGTGTGTGTGTGTGTGTGTGTGTGTGTTTGTGTGTGTGTTTGTGTGTGTGTGTGTTGTTTTTTTTTTGTTTGTGTGTGTGTGTCGGGCGTGGTGTTGTTTGTGGGTAGTGGAGTGGGTGGGGGGGGGGTGGGTGGGTGGGTGGGGTGGGTGGGGTGGGTGGGTGGGTGGGTGGGTGGGTGGGTCGGTGGGTGGGTGGGTGGGTGGGTGGGTGGGTGGGTGGTCTTTCACTGTTTGAGGATCATGCTGGCAGACATGGTTAGAGCAAGATATCAATGTGCTTCAGGCTTTTGGGTTAAGGTTTAAAGGGATCTCTGAACTACACTTTTGCGGCCTGCCATCGCACACCCTACCTGACCCCTAATGCCGAACTGTGAAGCAAATACATACTATTTCTACACATACATATATATATATATATACACATATATATATATATATATATACATATGTATGTAAAAGCACATACACATACACATGCACCTGCACATACACATATACTTGTACATATACATATGCATATACACAGATACACATACACACGAATACACATACATGCATACACGCATGCACGCATGCACGCATACACATACGTACATGCATACACATGCATACATACACACATTCCTGCAAACAATTATTTCTATTCCTATCCATTACATTGCAGTCATACATACATACATAGATACATACACACACATACATACATGCATACATGCATGCACTGACGAGACGCCCGAACACTCTAGGGTCTTGGGCTTCAGGAAAACCTGTAATCACCAAGACACCCTAAACCACAAACCCCAAACCCGACACCCCTAAACTCCTGAACCCCAAACCCCACAAGCCAACAAGACCCGGCCAGGATGTCGTTGCCGTTGCCCAGGCGTCGCCCGCCGGCAAAAAGCTGCGGTAACTGAGTCTCGCCGCTCAGGGCCTCGTTAAGGCTGCAGGGTTTTGGTTTGAGTTTTGAGGTTTAGGGAAAAAGCCAGAAAGTTGGAATATGATTATCCTAACCCTTTACTTGGTAAATTATAGGGTATCCTACCAAGAAACCATATTCCAACTTTCTGGAGTTCCCTGTAAGGTTTGGGGTTTCAGCTTTAGGGTTTCGGTTTCAGGCTTCAGGGCTCCTCCTGTGTAAGGCTTCAGGGTTCCGGGGGTTGAGGCCTTGAGGTTGAGGATTCCTTACCTTCCCAAAGGGTCCTACGGTTGATGATATAAATCCTGCATGACCTTAAGGACCCTAGACTATGGGAATTATGGTATATTCCTTATTATGGGTAATGCAGGATTTATACCATCAACAGTATGTAACAGTATGTACTGTTATGGGGAATACATCCCCAATCCTAATAGTAATTCCCACTACAGAAACGCTACATTCTACTATGTAAGTACTTTGGACCCTTTGGGCTTTAAGGCTCTAAGGCTTCTGATAAGGTACTGTAAGGGATTTGGGCTCAGGTGTTTGGGGTATTCGGTTTGGGGGTTTGAGGTGTTTAGGGGTTTAGGGTTTAGGGTTTAGGCCCTAAGCCCTAACCCCTAAACCCTAAGTTTAGGGTTTGAGGTTTGGGACTTACTGGGGCCTGGAGCCATGGATGCTTTCAGGCTACTTTAAGCAAGCCTTGAGTTGAGCCGGTACCAGAGACTCAAATCTCCCTTCAGTCCCTTCAGTCATTAAGGAATATACCCTAAGACTATAGTAGAATCCTGATATGATATGAGGTATGTTAACCCTAAACCCTAGAAATTGGTTGTCGCTGCTTGCGTTGAACCCCTAAACCGTCAATTTCGAGCCCAGCCCACCCAGCCTGGCCTAGGTTCCAGAACAGAAAAGCAGTCGGAAAACCCAGGTCAGTCGCGGCAGCCCAAAACTCCTCGGGTTCCCCTAAACCCCGAAACCCCGAACCCTCAGCCCTAAACCCAACCCCTGAATCGGACCACCCTCCCAGTCCCGAATTCAACATCAGGTCAAAAATACCGGCCCTGCCCCAGCCCCTGTCGCCACCAAAATCAGGTTTCAATCATCTCGGCCCCCCCCACATCGGCCTCCACGCGTCCGCAACCCAACCCCGAAAACAAGACCACGTTCTCCCGCCCCCCCCCCAGGCCTCCGCCCACCAGCCGCCTTTGGCCCAGCTAGGCCCAGCCCGCCACCAACCATCAGAAGCCCGGCCCAGCACCCAATTCCCGAAATCAGGTTTCAGTCAGCAAACCTGCTCAAAACTTTCGCTCAACACTTTTTGGCACCCAAACCCTTAACAATTTCTATAAATCTTCTTCCTTAGTTGAAGGATATTGGGATATTGGCGTCTCTGGGTTCGGCCTTAAAGGCAAGAGCTAGTCATGAGGATATCACGAGTTAGGAATCAGCTAATTTTAGGAACCCAAAAATACATAAGCATAAGCATTTTAGGGGGATATCCCTACCTTCTTGGCCTTCCTTTTAAGGGGGTCTATATGGGATATCACTATCCTTGTTTTTGCTTATGTGCTTTTCTGGGGCCTATAACTAAACCACGAGATCTGACGCGGCACGCCACTTATACCCCTGCTAACCCAGAGACTTCAATATCCCTTAATTAAGGAATATTCCTTATAAGTCATATTAGGGATCCTACTATAACTTAAGGTATATTCCTTAATTAATTCTCTTAAAAGAACCCTTATAGATCCCTTCAAGGAGCCCTTTAAGGAACCCTTAGGGGTATATTCCTTAATTAAGGGGTATTGGAATTTTGTGGGAAACCCGCTGCTCCAAAGACTTGCAGGATGGGCTACTTAAAGGATCATGGGACTTAGTAATTGGGGGTTCCTTTAAGGGTCCCTTTAAGGGAATCTATAGGGCTACTATAAGGGTTTAGGGTTTAGGGTCTACTTAAGGGACCATTGGACTTAGTAATTGGGGTTATAAGTAGGGTAAATACAGCTATAATTACTTATAACGCCAATTCAGATACTTATAACCCTACTTACTAAGTCCCATGATCCACCAAGTAGGGTTCCGTAAAAAAGTGGGTCTATAAGGGATCTATAAGGGTAGTATACTATAAGGGTCTTGTAACTTAGAAAAGGGTTTTGGGGCCCATTGTACTAGAATTATGGTACGGAAACCCCCAAATAGTATAGGTAATTATTTAGACCCCTTTTGCAATCTAACTGACAGTTTCAAGCCGCAAGGGGCCCCTTTTTGTTGACGACAAGGCGAGGAATTTGAGGCTTGGGGTTGCTGCTGACCCCGCTTCTCCAAGTCCATCTGCTGTTTGGCCTTTAGGGTTCAGGGTATTGGGTCTCGGGTTTAGGGTTCACCTGGCGCCGCTGAAGAAGTTCCCCAGCAAGCGGTTGAGGGCTTGGTGGGTCCTCACAAAAAAGGCTGCTGGCCTCTGCGGCGGCGCATCCACGAGGTTCTGCATCTCCCTTTGGATCAACAATGAAGGTCTGCCAGACCCAGCAAGCTCGCCGCGTGGTTCCAGGGGCCAAGGACAAACCCGTTATGTGAGAGGTCAAGCTGAGCTGCTGGGAGTGCAAAGCCAGAGCGAGTCCGGGTGTCCCAGCCCCCAAGGGCAGCACACAGGGCAAGGAAGGAATTGAAACCGAGCCTAGGCTGCTCCAGAGGGTGCAAGTTGATCAGAGGAGTAGGCTTGGGGGAGTGGGGACTTGGGACGGCCAAGGCCCAGCAACCTGCAACTCAAGGCGGTCACAGCATTGGGCAGGGTAGCCATGAAAGGAAGCAGCCAAATCGCTGCGATGGAACCCATCCACATGCCGTTATGAAGCCCAACAGCCCTAAAACTCTCAACATCAAGTCGTTTCGAATGGAGAAATCAGGCTAAACTCCCTAAACCAGGGAAAACATGAAGCAAACGTACAAGATCCCCGGAGGGCCCTTACACAACCTCCGCGAGATCCCCCCAAAGCCCTCCACCGTAATCCGAGCCCCTATAGATCCCTTATGGCACCCCTTCTAGCAACCTTTAATGGAAACCTAGCAACCCTTGTCGTACGTACCCCCTTACAGATCCCTTTAGCAGCCCACCCCCCTCTGTCTGCAAGCCAAGCTGCTTCCACAGCCTTCTTGACACCCGGGTTGTATTTCTCATCAAGGCAATCCACAGCCTATCCAGAGAACCCAATACCCCTTAATTAAGGAATATACCTTAAATTATAGGGGCCTTAATATTCTGATTTATAAGGTATATTCCTTAATTAAGGGGTATTGGGTTCTCTGGGTACCAGGGGTCGGGCTTCGTGTTTCCAGGGTTTACAAGGACAGGGTCTCTAAGGGTTTAAGGGTGCTTAGGGTTTAGGGTTTAGGGTTTAGGTGCTTAGGCTAGGGTTCAGTTCATGGATTGCATCGAAAACGGTTCTCCTGTTGTGAGGTTTAGAATTTAGGCTGCAGGGCCTTTAAGGCCAGGGGTTTAATGCTTCTCTCGGGGTGCAAGGCTTGAAAAGCTTGGGTGTTTTTTGCAGCTACTATGGGTTCCGAGGTTGGCGAATTGTATGATGTGGGTGGTTGTCAAAATTATGGTCCCTTTTTGGGTACCCTAAATATTAGGTGCCGTATTATGATAAAGACCCAAAAAGGGACCCTAATTTTGACAACCACCCATGTGTTTACGGCTTAGGGAAGTAGGAGCTATCTCAATCCCGGGAATTTAGCAGCATCATCTTGGTTTGATGTTTGGGCTTCGAAAGCAGCCCTAGTGACCTTAGTTGACAGGTGGGGTAAGAGTTACATGAAGCCTTGCTCAACGACTGTTTGTAGAAGCTATCGAGAAGTAGAAGAAGAGCCGCGATTGCTCGACATGCGCAGTAACATAGGGGCCTTAAACAAATTAGAATAAGGATCCTTTAACAGGGTTCCTTTACAGGTGTCCATAAGGGTAGTATACTGTACGGGTCTTCATAATCAGAAGATAACGAACCGCAAAAAGAATAGGTAACCACTAAAGCGCCTACGTAAGTTGAGTGTGCGATAGCTTGCTTCACTGCGAGAACAGCCCCGAAAGAGCCGATGCCGCATCCGGAGTGGTTCAGGGTTTAGGGATTTCGGGGTTTAGGGGTTAGGGGTTTAGGATTTAGGGTTAGGAACCCAAGCTGAGCTCGGCTCAAAGTGTTGCCATCATGAGCGCTTCTGATCGCTTGCTGAACATTCTGATGCGAAAACGGGAGATTGCGGTCTCGCATGGATGACACATTGGTTTAGGGTTTAGGGCCAGCGAACTCAGTCAGCATCCATTCCCCGGCTCGGCAGATCAAAGTAGTCCTGAACCACATCAGCTCCGAAAGTGGCACCAAGGTGGTGTCGCCGAAGCTCTGACCAACGAACAGCCATGCATACCCTAAACCCTAAACCCTAAACCCCTTGTTGTTGGAGGACCCTGAACCTCTGCTTGTAGAATTCCGTTGACTTGAGCTTCTGGTGCTGTTCATGGAGGAACCGCTCGAGGGTCTTCTTGGCTTTTGTGAAACATTTCTCGTCTTCTTCTCCTTAGCGATGTGTTGAAGCAAGCTCACCCTGCACCCTCAACCTAAGACCTAAACTCTAAGCGCTACCTACTGCAAAAGCTACGCCCTGAACCACTAACTCCTGAACCGGAAACGCTAAAACCTCCAGTGCTACATGCCGGATTCCGGACTGCCAACAGTACCCCTAAACGCCTGCAGTGGGGTGGTACTTACCGTGTGGTCGTCCCTACAAAACCTGATGACACCACAGCCCCACAAACTTCAGATGTAGATATGAATGAAGATGGATACAGATATAGATGTAGATATATGTATACAGAGCGCGGGTTTCCGAAAGTCTCATACTCCATGCACGTTCAAACCCCGAGCGCCAGGATCCGAGCACTCCCTATTCTCAGTCTCGTGGGGCGTTTTTGGCACCGAAAACCCATAACTACGGATTCTACACCATTAACCCTTAACCCTAAACTCCTGAACCTCTAACCGTTACATAGCCCTTAAGCCCTAAACTCCTAAACCTCTCAGCTTTAACCCATAGACCCTAAACATCTAATCCTCTACCCTCAAATCCTGAACTCCTGAGCCTCTAACCCTTTGCTCTATCCTCCCCTCATCTCTCTGCCCAGAGATGACACATTTGTTTCTTTGAACCAACCAACCAACCTAAAACCTAAATGGGTGGTTATCAAAATTAGGCCCCTTTGGGGTACCCTAAATAGTAGGTGCCGTATTATACTAAGGACCTAAAAGGGGACCATGCTTTTGACAACCACTTAAAGGATCATGGGACTTAGTAATTGGGGTTATAAGTACGGTAACTATAGTTATAATTGCTTATAACCCCAATTAAGGTACTTATAACCCTACTAGGTCCCATGATCCTCCAACCACCCCAAACCCTAAACCCCAAACTCCAAACCCCAAACCCTAAACCCTAAACCCAAAACCCTAAACCCTCAACCCTAAACCCCTAAACCCCAAACCCTAAACCGACTAAACCCCTCCAAAAAGCCCGGAGGGTCTCCTTGAAAGCCAGGCCACTCTGGAGAAGCGCCTTCGAGCTGGGCTTTAAGGAGGGTGGTTGTCAAAATTAGGGTCCCTTTTTGGGTCATTATTGGGGTTTAGTGGTTTATGGGGTTTGGGGTTTAGGGTATTTGGGTGGTTGTCAAAATTAGGGTCCCTTTTTGGGTCATTATTGGGGTTTAGGGGTTTATGGGGTTTGGGGTTTAAGGTTTCGGGGTTTAGGAGCTCAGGGATTTGTGTGGTTGTCAAAATTAGGGTCCCTTTTTGGGTTCTTAATCGAATACGGCACCTAATACTTAGGGTACCCAAAAAGGGACCACAATTTTGACAACTACCCAGGAGGATCATGGGACTTAGTAAGTAGCGGGCTAAGGGTGCCTTTAAGGGGATCTATAGAGGTACAATAAGGGTTTAAGGCTTAGGGCTCTGCAATTCTAGGGCTTGGGGGGTTTGAAGTCCAAGGCTAGAGTTCTACGATTCTAAGGTTCAAGGTGTAAGGCAAGGGCTCTAAGGCTCTAGGGTTTAAAGTTTAAGGTTCGGGCTGCAGGGCTCTAAGGCTCTAAGGTTCTGGGGTTTAGGGGGTTTGTGGGTTTAAGGCTCTTGGGAAAGAAGGCTGCAAGGTCCTATGGTTTGGGGGGGTTGTGGGTTCTATGGCCGTAGTAGCTAGAACAGGGTTCCCGGACGGTTTAGGGAATCTACAAGCATATCACTGGGGAGCAGTACCTAGACCTTTCAATATCCGTTGATTAAGGAACATACCTTAAATTATAGTAGGATCCCTGCTATGATTTAACGTACACTCCTTCAGTCGGGGATATTGGAAGGTCTGGGCAATTAAAGGGGTCTTAAACATCAGATCGAAGAGTGGCTACAAGGGTTTGCGTGTGTTGGTGGCTTCAGCAACTAGTTCAATTAAGGTCAGCATCGGCTGTCAAACAAGGGCAAAACCCAAAACCCTAAATCCTAAGCCCTATAAGCCCTAAACCCCGAAACCTTAAACCCTCAAGAACAGGATACATAGAAAGTGCGACTTTCGCTTCGAACTGCTTCTTCATTAGTTTCGCATATTCAAAAAACGTGTGCGAAGAAATCCCGGCCCAATTCCAAGCCGTGCCAACAGCTAGCTCCAGCCCCATCCAGCCCAGCCCAGCCCCCAGTGGCCCCCAGCCCAGCGCCCAGCCCACCCTAGTCCCAATCCCAAACTGTGAAGTGAAAAGCGAAAAACGAAATGTGACCTCGCACCGGAACCCTGTACAATTTCTATGCACCCATACCCAGCAGCCTAGAATTCCCGATGCATGCGCCTGACTGGAGCTATTTTGCAGCACTAACACATCTGAAGTGGGAACCAGATCAGTCATCATTCCCTGCTTGACTTGCCCAAGCGGGGACCCTAAACTCTAAACCCGGGACCCTTTCATCGCTTTTGCATGGACCTTGCCTTAAGACATTTTGTCGTCCTGCAGCTCTCGATTGACCCCTACAGTGACTCATGCAGGCCATACAATACAAGCCAATGAACACCCGACTAAAGCCATGTCTAGTACGGAACCTGTACATAAGAATCCTGCCAAGTAATTACCATCCAGGTACATGTACTCACTTTAAACCCTGACCATGTATGGGGTTTCATACAGCTTCATGAGGATGTTAAGACTGCAGAACCTTCCGACCCTTGAAGTGGCTCATTTCACAACGCTAAGCCCGGGACGGTTTAGGGTTTGTGGTGTTTGGGGTTTAGGGATGTATTTTCTTCGGGTTCAAGGTTTCTTCATGGGTTAAATATAACTTAGGGATAGTGTATGGGCTGCAGGTTCGGGGGCTCAAGGGCTAGGGTTTATATACGGGTTGTGCATGGGCTTTACGTTTTACAGGCTTACGGGCCTGGTCTTTAGGATTGCTTAAGGAAGAAGCCGTCGGCAAGCCCCCGGCCTTGACGACACTCGCAGAAAGATTCGCTTGCGGTTCCTGGCTGCCGGGGCAAAGAACCGTGCCAGCAGTTTCAGGAGTTTCAAGATTAGGATTTGGAGTTTCCCAAAATACAGCGTGATAACACTCGCAACACTGTGCAATTCCTTCGTTCAGTCGGTGTAGTTTGAAGGGATTAGGGCACCGTCAGCGCCCGTAGGCGCACGCGGGGCGGTTCCCTGGCTCTTGCTGTTGAGAGATGCCAATCTTCGACCAACTTCGCGCTCCCGGAAACATGTCCAATCTTCCCCAACCTTCAACACAAATCATGAAGTCGAATGTTTAGGTCTAAAGGCCTCGGGAATATGCGAACACATGCCATGATGGGGTAACTTGTCCGGAATCACAATACTGCGCCGAACCGATAGTTCGACCCACTAGCTTGAACATGCTGGAACGCCCAGTCCCCCACCCTCATCCCCATAGACTCCTAACACAAGTGAGCAATGGAGCCTCCTCGGAACTAAAAAGTATTCCAATTTCAATACGGTGTAGAATGTTGAAATTACTCCGCTAGCCTGCATAGGCTGCATACGGCACAGGATGAACGACACTGTGAGGCACACCACAACTCCGCAAAAGCTTGTATGTATGTTAGACAATACACGTGTAGCTCGAAACTTTCCTCCCAAACTGCAAGCAGGGAGCTCCGTCATTCAGGCTACATAAGTCATTTCCGAATAATCGGATGAGTTGGGTTCAGTCGCAGCAGAGCTGTGAACCGAGGAGCTTTCACAACCAAGAAGAACTTATTACGGAAATTTTTGCGAATATCCAAAAAGAGGCTCTTCAACACTCAGGCCTCAGTTCCGCACAAAAAAACCATTCTTACAACTCTGTTCTGTCCAAGCCTTCAGGGTGCCTTCCATGAAAAGCACGACCTGCCAGAACAAGTACTACTTCTAACTACTATAATAGCGGTAGTAGTAGTAGTAGTAGTAGTAGCAGTAGCAGTAGTAGTAGTAGTAGTAGTAGTAGTAGTAGTAGTAGCAGTAGCAGTAGCAGTAGCAGTAGCAGTAGCAGTAGCAGTAGCAGCTGCAGTACTAGTGCTAGTAGTGCTACGACTACTGCTCCTGGTCCACCTGTACCTGCTACTGCTACTGGTGCTCCTGCGAATGCCACTGCAGCTGCTACTTCGACTGCTAATGATACTGTTGCTATACCCCTATACTCCTACACTCCCACACTCCTATACTGCTACACTGCGTTTGCAACCACTGCTGCTGCTCTTACTACTACTAATAATTAATGCTACGACTGCTGCTACAAGGAAGTTGTAATCGCAGTCTTCCTCAACCCAGCAAGCAACCCGGCCCATCCTACAGCAAATCACAAACCCTGAGGCTCCAAGCAGCATAGGAGTCACAGGTCTAGATGTCGGCTTCGGTTTTAGGGCTTAGGGCTTCGGGTTTAGGGCTCACGGTTTAGGGTTTAAGGCTTAAAAGATTAGGGCTCCTAAGCCCTTAACCCTGAACCGTGGCGATTGGTTCGAGAGGGGCTGTTGTGGCTGCGATTACTACTCTTGAACCTGTAAAAACTGCTTGTCTATACACGCCACAACAGTCCTTTCTCTGTAGGGTTTAGGGCTCAGGGCTTAGAGTTTGCGATTGGTTCGGGCTCAGGAGTTTGGGTTCAGGGTTTTGGAGGCTGAGAGGCACGAAACCGCCGATCGATTGGTGTTCAGGCGCCATCCTCAAATCTCGAACCCCGCCCGAGCACGCTTGCGACCACGCCGCCCGTGTTCATGGTGCCCGTGTCGGTCCTTGCAGCAAGAAGCGTGCACCACACGACAACTTCACCGACAGCAAGACAAGAGATGCAGGCTGTACCGAAGCCTACAAGCGCACATGTCATGAGAGAATACGCTCTCCGGAAACAAAAGCAGCAACACCAAGCCGAGAACGCCTGCAACCAGTTGAGGAACTCCGACACCTACAGAACCAAGAGAACGCACTTTCACAGTAAGAAAGAACCGACGCCGACCTCTTACTCGAACATCCAAGCTTGCAGCGGCTGCAGTCTCTGGCGCGCCGCCCTGGTCAAATCTAAGAACATTATCGAGAAGATGCACCACAGACCACTTCATGCGCAAGAGAATAACGAGCGCCCAGCATTCAAGTAGTCCCTCCATCCGTGTACCTGTCACGATCGCCAGCCACAAACAGGATGTCACCTGCTCCAATACATGTCACCTCGATGAACACCTCTTGCACTTCGCGCCACAACAAAGCAAGCAGCATAAACTAAGTATCAGACTTCCTCAGGCTCCGCATCATGGGCTTCCTGAGTATCTCACTTGTCATGAGACACGGCAACATGTAAACACAAAACGCAAGCAGCGCAACATGCGCAAATGCTCCAATGCATATCACCTCAATGAATACCTTGCACTTCGCGTCACAACAAAGCATGCAGCGCGAACTGAATATCAGACTTCTTTGGGTTCCGCAGGATGGGCTTCCTGGGATTCTTGGTATCTTACTTGTCATGAAACACGGCAACATGTAAACACAAAACGCAAGCAGCGCGACATACGCTCATACACACAAACAAACGTGAAGTCGCCGTGAAATAGGGTGAGCGCAACGAGACCGCCTGTGTCTGGGTTTTCTTCTACCGCTGTAGGGCCTAATGGTGCCTCAACGGACTTTCCCGCCAGTCTCTCTCTCTCTCTCTCTCTCTATCTCTCTCTCTCTCTCTCTCTCTCTGTCTGTCTCTACGAGGAACCCTTGCCTTCTCGGCTGCGACTTTTCGGGCGGATCCTGGGCCCCGGTTGGGCGGGATAGGAATCAGAAAGGCTCCATGTGCTGAGAAGCCCATACAGGTGCTGACAGCCAAGCTACCTCCGATGGGCTTGGGTTAAGTGTTGTTCGCGCAAAATGTGTGGCAGCTCCATCGTAAACGCGATCAGACCAGCTGTATAAGCGGAATAAGATGTCCGGTGCTGTATTTGCAAAGTGAAGCTCGCAAGTCTTGTGTTGCCTGTTTGGTCTTTTCAATGGCATCATGTGCAAATCCGGAAGGTGCTCTGAGCTCGGGAATGCCTGAGCATCAAAACGAATGCCTATTCCGGCATCCTTTACCTACAGGATGTTACACAATACCGTATTTCGAAGACCAGAGTAGAAGCATGCGGCAGCTGTAGTATGGCGACCTCCCTATCACGGCACAACCGAAACACTGCATTCACATATCAAGAACCACGGTAGACCAACATGATACACTGAGGGCAATACGTGCGGAAGGTTCAAACGTCCGCGAGCCTTGCAACATGGAGGTACAACTAGCTCCACTCACCGCAATTCATGGTTCCGGCCGAAGACTTTCGGTAAAGCCGCCAACCCACCTCGTGTAGGAGAGCACATGACATGACCAAGGAAGCACAACGCTACGAAACACTCCCAGCATCCCACAGCTCAGTTCACGGCCAGCAATCCAAGCAAAAAGGCCACCAACATCATCATGGCTCAATACGACCGCTTAGATGCTTCAATGAGCTCCAATCTGTGTACCGCATACAGTGAAGCTGTCAAATGTAGGTTAGCTTAGATGTTGCAATAGGCTCTGTTTTGTGTGCAACTGCCTGCAGTAACGCTGTGAGGTGTGGAATGTACACGGTAGTTGCCCGCTTGCGTGAGTCACTTAGCTCAAGATCCGTGAGGAAGCTGCGCATCCGAACCACAGAGCGTCCGCTGGCCACACGTGACAAGTTTGGATACACCAAATAAAGTTCTTACAGTTCGCCTGAGTATTTCTGTGCCGGAATTGAGTGCGTTTTCAACCTAGACTGACGACCTCTTTTCCCATACTGCCTTGTCTCAGGGGTTCTTGATTCGATTAAAGGCAGGGATCCTGTATTGCTCATCTGGATCTCTTCGGCGCTATGCTGACAGATGCTCCGCATCTGTGCCGGTTGCCTCCTATATTCTGGGCGCTCTAACGTCTGTTTGGGACCTGTCGTTCTACTGGTCGTATTCGTGGGTCTCCGCGATGTACGACCTATATTGTGAAATTCAAGACTTTGCCTACCGGTCAAATGACGTTACCCACAAGAGTGTGACCTTGCACATCTAATTGTTCTAGAGACTCCAATATCTCGTAAAAAGGAACATATTCCTTAAATAAAGTCATCTTGGGGTCTTACTACAATTTCAGGAATATTACTGGGGTCCCTGGGAACGACCAAATATCAAGATTGTAGCCCCAACTCGTTTAATCTCCTCGTAAATCCCTAAATCCCAAACCCCAAACAAGAGCTCAAAACCTGAAGAACAACGACCTACAGACTGCACCCTGTAATGTAGAAGCCTTATCATTCAGAATAGGGTTTTGGGATCCGTTGAAGTAAAAGCACAAGAGTAACCCCAAGGAATAACATCGGCAACCTGTATTACCCGAACCGCGGAAGTCAGACCCCTGACAACAAGGACGAAGTGAAAGTTAGAAGGTACTTTTAGGGTTCTATAAGGCTTATATGTCATACTGTATGTCTCTACCTAAACCCCGAAACCAATCAAGGATTTGAACAATCTGCTCGTTTGCGAGTGCCTGGAAGTCGCCTAAGAGGCTCTGCGTGAGGTCGACCATCGACATCTCGGGTCGCTACCGCTCTTGAGTTCTGGTCTCTTTGGGGGCTTATAGGTTTTGGAAACCTGAACCTTAAACCCTAATCCTTAAGCCCTACACCTCAAGCCCCAAACCCAGCTTAAACCCTAATGCCTTAATCCTTCAACCCATACCTCAAGCCCAAAACCCTAATCCTGCAAGGCTTAAGGAGGATTCGGGCGTGGTCTTTTGTTTTCGCAAAGGGGCCAAATGAAGCTTTTTGTCACAGTGGGAAAAAAAGCTTCGGATCCATGTGTCCGGCTTTAGGCTTTTTATTGAAGTCTATTTAAAGGATCATGTGACTTGTAACTTATAAACCCAACAAAGATACGTATAGCCTTATTTACTAAAATTTACTACGTCCCATGATCCTCCAAGTAAACCCCAAACCGCCAAGGGGTTTCGTTTTTTTTTTGAGCTCCTTTTCTCCGATGCCCAGAAGGTCCCTAAGAGGCTTCAACAGCCAGGACAGCCAATCATATACGGCCAGCCGGGGAAAACAACGACCACATCCCTTCGTGCCCTCGTCCTCCGACCGACAACCCCACAGAAGGCCCCTTCATCCTCCAAACATGTCCGCCGCATCGTCAGGCAATGGTGTAAGAGGCCCCGGCATTGGCTGTGGTGTATCATCGAATCCGACGACCCTGGCACCGTAATAGGTGCCACCCCTGGTCCACACGTCAGGAGGTCCTTCGTCTCGGTCTTCGTCTGCCCACATGCCCTAGAGGCCGGGATGTTGAAGATTTGGCCGTGTCTACATCTTCATGCTGCTTGCACGGTTTAGGGGGTGACTTAAGAGGTCTTCACAGTGTTTCTCCTGTCAACACCCTGCAACGACGGCCATCATTCGGAGATCCGAACCCATTCTTGACCTCTCGGCGCAGTCGCTTGTTGTCTGGGCTGTCTTGTCGGCCCGTGGTCCGAACGACAGCATGGGTAGCCTGGCACTGAACACATCCGACTCTTTTGGTTTCGTGCAGATGAGATGTCGACGTGTCAAGCTACAGGACTGAGTTGGCCCTTAAGCCCAGTACATGTACATATGTATATATATATATATATGTGTATATATAGGTACATGTACATACACATATACACATACACAAGCACCCCACAGCCTTGCTCACTGTTCACCTTAACTAAGCCCTAAACGTATCCTAAAACCTAGACCTATCCAGAGACTCCAATACCCCTTAATTAAGGAATACTCCTTGAATCATATTAGGGATCCTACTATAATTTAAGGTATATTCCTTAATTAAGGGATATTGGA